CCGGTGCTGAAAAAGATGCTGTGAGGGCATCTGATGGTGTAACACCTCTGCACTTGGCCGCCCAGAATGGCCACGTAGAAGTGGTTCGAATGCTTCTGGAGGCCGGTGCTAAAAAGGACTGCACTGAAACGCGACATGGAAGCACAGCTTTGCAATTGGCAGCTCGGAGTGGCCATGTAGAAGTTGTTGAAGTGCTGCTGTTGGCTGGTGTTGAAATGGATGCTGCTATTGCACATCGCTTGGCATATTACTGCGTACAAAGGTCATGCCGAAATGGTTCGTTTGCTGCTAGAGGCCGGTGCTGAAAAGGAGACTGCAAGGGCATCTGATGGTGAAAAACCTCTGCACTTGGCCACCCAGAATGGCCGTGCGCAAGTGGTTCGAATGCTTCAGGAGGCCGGTGCAAAAACGGACTGTTTTGCAAAGCTGATTGCAGCTCAGCATGTCCACACAGCAGTGCTTGATTTGCTGCTGCAGTGGGCTGAATGATGTCAATGTCGCCACACGAAATGGCAGAACAGCTTTTTGCGTGTAGCAGCTTAGAGTGGCCACGTACAAGGTACAAGTGGTTTGATTGCAGGTGCAAGACCGGATGCTGCTTATTCAGAGCAGTGGGGGCTGGTGCTGCATCGACACAACATTGACGACTTCCACTTTGAGCCAGCGCCATCTTTGAACCAAAAAATGGGAAGCTGCTTGGCTGCTGCTTCCAACCCTGTGCACACTGGTGGAATGTGTAGTGCCGACCTTTGTTCAGTCTCGACCTCGTTGTTTCATGCTGTTTCATGTTGCAAGTTTGCTGGGACCAATTGCAAGCCCTTTTGTCCGTGGCGCTCATAAGCACTCAGTGACTCCCAGGTTCTGAGATATCCAGGATCTACCTAGAGAACACATGATAACACAAGATGAGGCGTGTCATCAGCATCCAGTAGGTGCATTACAGTGGCAAACCAGGTTCCGAAACGGAGCCTTGACTGTGTTAGATCCACCTGTCATGTTCACTTCGCATATATAAAGCACCTAAGTCAACCGCTGCCTGCCTCAAGTTCTATTCTATTTTTATCATCTATACTGTATATTAATCTTGATACAGTTCATTTTTCCAATTTGTATGACAGTACGACCTTCGATGAGCTAGCTCACAATCTACAGACTCCAGCTTGGAGATTTCCGGAAGCGCCATCGACTATTAGAACTCAGAGCCCGAACAGCACACTGTGGGTGTTACTAGCAGTAATGCCCTTGTTACTAGTAGTAAAGTGCCTAGTACTAGTAGCTTCTTGTTACTAGTAGCGATGCCCTTTGTTACTGGTAGCTTCTTGCTACTAGTAGTAATGCTCTTGTTACTAGTGTCTTTGTCGACGTGTTCTGGCGGAGGCTTGGAGCCAGTCTCAAGTAGAGGAGCTGATCCAGAAGCTTCTGCAGCAGAAGGCGACGATGGAAATGAGACACGTGTGTGTTTGTGTGTATATATTTATATATACATACACTACACAATTAAATGAATTATGAAGAGATCAAGATCCTAAAACTTGTTTGAAGGGCCCTCAACTTGCCATGGTGGATTGATGCCCGTGGAGAGGGGGTTTCTCAAAGCGAACACACCTTAAGGCGTATGATGGCGGAATCAAACATCCAGTGATCGACAAGCGTTTCTCTTCGATTTGCTATCCGAGGATCCCGAAACAAACATGTCAAACCAAGTCAATGGCTTGACGAGTTGTGCAAGCTGAGCTACCACCGAGGTCGAGGCACCCAGCTGCTTTTGTTTCAAGCAAAGTTATTTACCACAGCTGCCATTCTCCATCCTCATCCCTCCCGAACCCATATCGGCGCTCCGTGGGTGGTTTACCACCCCACATTGTCACAGGTGCTGCGGGAGGAGAAGGAGTCGGCGGGAGGGAAAGGCAAAGGCGGCAAAGGGAAGTGGAAGGCGGTGAAACGCCTCAGAGAGGGTGTGAACTTTGCTCTTTGGCCGCACTGGATCGCAAAAAACTGACGGTGCGGACACGTGGCACGAGCTCGGGTTGGGCCAACTGAAAGGAATGTTAGCATGGACAAACATGGAGGGAACAGAAGTACAAGGAAACAATCAATGACCAATTGGAGTGAAGTGCACTCCATGAAACTTCCGAGCTGGGCATCAACGCCTTGTGGGACTGCGACTAGGTCCAAGTGAGCCCTTCCAACATCATTTGGCTTGAACGTTAGCATGCAGGGGCATGGCACCGTCCCAACATTCCGACTCCAAGAGGTCCTGGGTGGCCAGGATGCACCTGCGCAGTGACAACCCGTTCTTGGGGTTGGATTCGACTTCCTCGGTTTCCTTCTCGGGTCCCCAAGGAGAAGTTCCGCAATGGGGACATCGTCATGCCGCGAGCTGAGAGGCCTTTGAGATGCAGAGGCGAATTGGAAAACAGATGTGGGAGGACGGGGAGCATTCTATATAGTGATGTTGTATAAATATAAACATCAGAGGGGCTTGCAAAAATAGAATGACTCTCACTTTTTTTTGACTCTCAGTTTTCTTGTTTGTGACGGTAATGATATTGATACTAAAGAAGAGGGGGAGGAAAAAGATGAAGATGCTCTCAGTTGTCCTATTCACCTTTGATTTGGATGCTAAAGCAGAAGGGGAGGAAGAAGAAGAAGATTTCTTAACTTATGATTCATAATATCTTTAAACAGTTGAGTCTGAACTTGAGGACACATTAAAAAATTTAAGTGAGTCTTGTGGACCGTCAAGTCTGAATGGCATCATGTATGTATAAGCGAGTCTCTCTTGGAGAATATGCTTTGGACAGATAATCTAAATTTGAAGGTAATAAGTGATTCATGTAACTGACTATTTTGAACTGTTGAGTCTGAATGCTGCATTATGAATTAAAAGATGGTCTAGGGCGG